AACCTCTGTTCACCTCGGGATGGTTATTACACTTCCAGGTCTTTCTGAAGATCAGCCTTTTCAAAGAGAACCTGTCCAGGATCAGGGAAGCAGCCAGTGGCTCCCTTTTCATCCTTCTCTCAACTGTGAGATACTGGGCCAGATTCTATGTAACTATTCACCGACAGCCATTAAGAACTTGAGGTGCACTCATGTGAAGAGTTAATATCACTGACCACTTCTTTGCCAGCACAGACTGTGCATACATGGCCCTGTTTTAACAATGAAACTATTCTTCCCATCCCCAGTGGAAATAGCGGGTTTTAGGTATTTCTTACATTTTATTTTACAGATGGGAAAAAATGTACTTTTAAAAAAAGACCCCAGAATAACTCCCAAGCATTATCCCTGACAAGCTTCATGATGATCAAACTTTATTTCCCTTCTAGGCTGGGGAACCTGAACTGCTCTTGCCTGCTCCAACTAAATGTATTTTTAGACTCTCTGTTCCCGTCCTCCTCTTTCTGAAGGATTGTTACGATATAATGATGCTCTGCACTTGTGCAGCGCCTTTCATCTCAAAGGCTCTTGCAGAGATGGGTGCTCGTTTCCCCTTCTGTAATGGAGCTAATGAGGCGCTGTGAGGACAGATTCTCAGACAGTGGCCTGGGCATGCATCAGCTAATTGCTCATGCAAATCACTGTTTGGATGGATTTGCACCAAGTTACTGAACTTGCACTCACAGATTAAGCACCCAACCTGTCTGAAAGTCCATTCCACCCTGAACTATCAACCTGGGGTTGTTTAGATCCCAGCTAAGTGGAAGGGAGTGGAGGGGGCAATATGGATACAGTTGAGAACCACTGTTCAGGGTCATCTCAGTGTCCTAGTGTCTCTAGCTGGTTCTCTAAGAACAGACGGTCAGAGAGAAGCACTCCATCTTTCAGCCCGCTGAGGCCAGAGGTGGGTAGGACACGATGTGGCATAGACACACAATGAGGGTCACCACCAAAATGATTCCGGCCGAAAACTGAAAATGGGGTGAGATTCTTAAAGGCCTCTTTTGATGAGTCTTGAATGCTCAACGAGAGGGGGCTTCACATCTCTACGTGACATGGGGGCTTTGGTGCTGGAATGAATGGGCTGCCTCACAACGAAGGGCAGTTGAGAGGCCTGGGGAATATGGCATATCATGATTGATTGTATTACCCTAGACCAGGACCTCATTGTGGTAAGTGCGGTACAAACCTAGAACAAACAGATTGTCCCAGCACCAAGGAGTTTACAGGATTGACAGGAGTCTATGGACTGGTCCCTGCCTTCCTTGCTTCTATGTTTCCTACAGAGTGGGCACCGCTTGCTGTTTGTTGTACGTCCCCATTCCTTTGCCTTCATTCCCATCTGATCACAGCCTTGTGTGTGTGTCTCATTCTCCACCAGGCTGTAGCTTTGTGCCTTTCAGTGCTGGCCTGGGTGATCATCCTGACACACTTTTGGAATTCAGTGGCCGTGTGCCTTCTCCGGGGCTGGGAGTGTGGCGTTTCAAGCCAGGTATAATACCCTGAACCACAGATGGTTCCTGAGCTTCCTCATTCCCTCCCCCTCTGTTAGAGAGCAGGTTAGAGAGTTACAAGGGATGGGATGAGGCGCTTGCCTCTGCTCTCTGGAGCAGCACTGAATATAGGCTCCTTCCTGCTTTTCCAGGACCCCTCTGTGGTGGATGGGAAGAGTGAAGAAACCAGTGAAACTCCATTTGGGAGTAACTTCAATCCTGCTCTGTGATGTCAAGACAAGGTGGGTGCAGAGCTCCTTCTGCTTCCTGGGGTGGGCGATTCCCCACTGCCCCCAAGCCCTTGCCCTCCTTTTTCATGGGAAGAGCCACCCTTGGCTGAGACTGGGCAGGGAGACACTGGGTAATTCGCACTGGTTTCTTACCTCAATAATAGTAATTAATACATTAGCATCCTGATATTCAGAGGCACTGAACACCTACAAATCGGACACAAGTTGTAGGTGCTCAGCACAGCTGAACGTCAGGCTTTTTGTTTCTAATTTGTAGTGAAGTTCTCGGCCTGTTTGGCTAGTCTGAGCTCCTGCACGTCAGAAGGGTCCCTTCTGGCCTCAGCCATCTATGGCGTTTGTGCTCTCCAGCCAGGATGCTTTGGAGGGAAACGTGCCAAAATGTAAAATCCGCATTAAATATGTCATGGGAAAGCCATGTCAAATCCTTAGATATTTCATGTGTCTGCCTCTGCCATGCAGTGTCTTCCTCCCTGCATTTCAGAGCCCTGGTGTAGCAGGAGTGTCTGGGGAGACTGAAAGGTTGTTAGACGCCCAGTACTGGTGTTCATTTGTTTTTAGCATTAAACTCCATTTCCGTGAAATGTACTCTATGGACATTGATGTTATTGTGTGAATGTCTTTCATTCAGACACTAGAGAAACCAGGTCAGACCTCTAACATGATTGTGTTGGTTTTTCCCAGGCCCACCTTCCACGCTCAATAGCTTAAACCCAACAGAGTTCCAGTGTCTTGTTTCCCTGGTGACATTTTCTGATCTGAAATCACACGTCCACCCATCTGGATTTTTGTTTGGAAGAAGAGAAGGTAGCTAGACTGGATCATGGGAGGAAGTGACCGGTGGCACTGTCTACATTTAGAAGAGCAAAGGCCAGCGTGGTCACTTACCAGGAGCCCCAGGGCTGCAGATAATGTGCAAAGAAATGTACATCTAAATAAACCCCAAAGCCGACTCACACTCACTGTCTGCCTGTATCGGTGCCAGTGGCGGTGAACAGGGATTGCCGCAGCTATCTCGATTCTGCACCGTCAAGGAGCAGAAAGTGAAGGACTCCAGGAGTCTGCTGCGGGCGTTTGCTCCTGGCTTTGGGCAGCCCGGGATTGGAGAAATGGGCATGAAGGGAGGAGGGGAGGGAAGCGAGGTTGCCACGCTAGGGTGGCTTTGTGGGCAGCCCCTGGGTTTCAGCAAGGCATACTCCTCTGGCCTCACGTCCGGGATTTTGCCTGAAATCTCAGGTGGGTCGGATGGAATTAGATGCTGGTTGAAAAGCGCTTGGAGTCCCAGCGTGTCACTGGGAAAGCAGTTGGGACACCCCAGAGGGGGTTGCCCGGGGGGGGGG